GTAATTGCTGGAGAAACGGTTTTCACGGCTCTGATTTTCAAAGAACGCCCATCAAGATGGCTATCTCAACTCAATTCTAATGTTAAGGTGGGACAGTCCCTTTAAAGTGCCGTCTGTAGATGAAGCATCCGCCCAGATCATGTCACGTGCTACGCCGATTTTGTCGTTTGCAATAAAGCCTGTTTGTCGAATCTGGCCTAATTTTCATAAAAACTAACAAACTTTGACCATTGATTAATAATCATCCAGTTACTCACTGTGCATGTCCGTGCGGCCCCTAGGAAAAAAGTTTTAAAGAGCATATTATTACATGGCTCCTGTGTTAATTTGGCATTATACGAATACTGCATGGGGGAGCGGGCAATAGCAAAAAATATTGCCCGATGTGACGTCACTGTCGCCCGAGGGTGAAGACCGAAACAAGTGCTATTGCCCGAGGCGAAGCCGAGGGCAATAGCACTTGTGGAGGTCTTCACCCGAGGGCGACAGTGACGTTACAGAGGGCAATATGTTTGCTATTGCCCGCTCCCCCATGCAGTATTCGTTTTATTACATGGCCAACTCTCGGAATCTTTACTTAGTACCTACTCATTCATCCCGTAATAAAAAAAAATATCCAAACACAAATATCATGGTACAATTCAGTAGGCGGAACTATGGTCAAGCGTACCCATTTTCGGGAACGCATTTTCGTTCCCATGTTTGGGAACGATAAACCCAAATATGGGAACGCCATGTAGGCATTATTTAAAACAAGAAAAAGAACCGTTAAATGACGTCCAAAAAATATAAAACGATCGTGAACCGCCTGATAGTTGTCTCAATATTGTTGGGAAAGAGTTTGATATTGTAAGGCCCATCGTAGTTTCAAATCGTTCCCCTATTTCTAAAGCAGTCCATCACCCGGGCCGCGAGCCCAAATTTGGGAACGCTCTCGTACACTGGCGCTGCAAGCGTTCCTTATTATGGGAACGGCGTACCCAAAATTGGGAACGATTTCACCGACGCCTTTCAGGGGCTCTTTTCATTAACAAGCATCACGTCCAACGCCGCAAATTATTGTTAACGCAACAATCATCAGATGACCTTTCCGGCAAGACCGTTGCATGTTTCGCCCGGTCTTCTGCGCTTTTATTCCCGTCGATCTCGCAGCGGGCACGCCCCCTCTGCAGGATTACGTAATCCACAACGCTCAGCGATGTTCAACAAGGTCTTCCATACCTATATCCACCGTCCGCGCCGAGGGTGGAGACATGTCAAGCACCTGTCTGCTAATCACCGAGAGTTGACGAGCACAAGAAGTATCCAAAAATGGGAACGCTGAATATGTTACACCCTCAAAACACCTAGTCCCAATGAAAATCTAGTTTTTTCCTTTCTTAATGAGTGTAAGTGGCAAAAGGCCTGGTAGGATGGGCACGAGGAATGATCGAAATCAGCATAAAAATTATAAATAAGCCACACAGAGCGACCTATATCAGAGAAATTCCCCCCAAACGATCATGCTTAGAAACGCCGAAGACAAAAACCACGCTCATGACGCTCCTTATAAAACAACGCTAAACAGCTAGCATCCAAATAAAATATGTCTTTCAGGGCTGCTAAAATACAGCTGAATGATTTTAAACCACTGAAACTGAGTTTACAACAGTAGTTCGGTAAAATCACTGACGTTCCACGCGGTCGATCGCCCCGACACCAAAAGTCAACAATATTACCTCGGGACTGTCCGCGTGTTCGCTTGCATATGTCAGCATCTGGTGTCGCTAGAATGAAACTTCATAACCAGGCGAAAATTATTATACTTGACCTCAAAATGTAAAAAATGCTTCATTTTCCTTAAAATTGCATGTTAAATGTCATATAACCCATATTTCCACCATTCTGTCATTTTTAAAAAAAATCATTAAAAATATCATTCCACGGTCAATTTCCTTGTTCCACGGTCAGATTAAAGATAACTTTATGGAGATTTAGTAGATACTTAAATCAGCGTGCACTTTTTTGAGACGTGATGCACTTTTGAGTTTTAGTGGGCGAACGGCCGAAAAATTGTCTTCCGTTCTCATAAATGGGAACGCCCGTTCCCATATTTGGGAACTCCGTTCCCAAAAATGGGAACGTTCCTATATTTGGGTACTCATGACCATAGTTCCGCCTACTGAATTGAATGTATTGGATATACAATCATAGCCACGTCACATGTCTACGGCACACACTTAGTTGTTTTCTGTTTTCTGTTTCTGTTTTCTGTTTCACGCCGTACTTGAGAGTGTGGAGACTCTTCGATTTGTAGCGTTCGCAGTCCTTGCGTTTTACAGTAATGAAGAACTCCTTCACAGCGTTGTCCAGGACATCGTTGCTGTGCATGCAGCTTTCAACAGATATGCCTTTTACTTGTAAGAACTCAATGAAGACGTCTTCTGCTGATTTAATCACCTTTTTAGTGCCCTGAGCCCTGCGCGATGAAAATAGCTCATCCAATTCATGCGGCTCCAACAAATTAAATCGGGGCATTTGAACGGACATGTTCAAATGACGGCCCAGTTCTAGATGACTTGACTAGCCAATCACGAAATCAAACTGAACAGTCTGAGAAAACGACGATAAAATTACGACATTTGAATTTTTGTTCAAACACCACTGCGCGAGCAACTTACTATTGACCGTTGACATGGCAACCGCTTCTCACCTTCAGAAAGGTCAGTAACCTGACACTGAAAGGTCAGTAACCTGATGCCGGGCAATAGTAAAAAATATCTCATGCCAAATTAACACAGGAGCCATGTAATAAGAGATATTTTTTACTATTGCCCGGCATCAGGTTACTGACCTTTCAGTGTCAGGTTACTGACCTTTCTGAAGGTGAGAAGCGGTTGCCATGTCAACGGTCAATAGTAAGTTGCTCGCGCAGTGGTGTTTGAACAAAAATTCAAATGTCGTAATTTTATCGTCGTTTTCTCAGACTGTTCAGTTTGATTTCGTGATTGGCTAGTCAAGTCATCTAGAACTGGGCCGTCATTTGAACATGTCCGTTCAAATGCCCCGATTTAATTTGTTGGAGCCGCATGAATTGGATGAGCTATTTTCATCGCGCAGGGCTCAGGGCACTAAAAAGGTGATTAAATCAGCAGAAGACGTCTTCATTGAGTTCTTACAAGTAAAAGGCATATCTGTTGAAAGCTGCATGCACAGCAACGATGTCCTGGACAACGCTGTGAAGGAGTTCTTCATTACTGTAAAACGCAAGGACGGCGAACGCTACAAATCGAAGAGTCTCCACACTCTCAAGTACGGCGTGAAACAGAAAACAGAAACAGAAAACAGAAAACAACTAAGTGTGTGCCGTAGACATGTGACGTGGCTATGATTGTATATCCAATACATTCAATTGTACCATGATATTTGTGTTTGGATATTTTTTTTATTACGGGATGAATGAGTAGGTACTAAGTAAAGATTCCGAGAGTTGGCCATGTAATAAAACGAATACTGCATGGGGGAGCGGGCAATAGCAAAAATATTGCCCTCTGTAACGTCACTGTCGCCCTCGGGTGAAGACCTCCACAAGTGCTATTGCCCTCGGCTTCGCCTCGGGCAATAGCACTTGTTTCGGTCTTCACCCTCGGGCGACAGTGACGTCACATCGGGCAATATTTTTTGCTATTGCCCGCTCCCCCATGCAGTATTCGTATACTGTTGGCCATTACACTCTTCTTTAACCTCCAGATAAGTCACACTTCGTGGCCAAAAACTTGCGCCAAACCTCGTCTCAGCTCTTCATGTATGTCTACCAACACACATCTGGAGGTTATTCGTAATTCTTTAAGATTCTTGGCTTACTTTTCGGGCTCCCAAGTCAGAACTACGCATATAAGAGACTGGTATAACTTGAACCTTCTGACTGTGTGAATTCAGTCTTAATAAAGGCCTTTTATCACCGGAGGAATGCACCGTGCCATGACGTCACATATGTCACAACTGTCACACAACAAAATGTCACACATACAGGGTGTTCCAAAAAAAAGTGAGCCCCCAAACTTATATTGCTTTTATCTCCGAAACCGTATGTCCTACGATAATGAGAGACCCCTTGTTGGAAAGAACGGTCAATTTCGGTTCTAGTAGGCTACCTAGTGTGGTTCTGAATGATCACGTATTACACCGAGAACGACCAGAACAAAATGTGTTGCGAGATCGAGTGATACTTGGCGACGGCGGTATGCCCCGCCTAACTATTATTGCTTTTATCTCCAAAACCGTATGTCTTACGATAATGAAAGACCCCTTGTTGGAAAGAACGGTCAATTTCGGTTCTAGTAGGCTACCTAGTGTGGCTCTGAATGATTACGTATTACACCGAGAACGACCAGAACAAAATGTGTTGCGAGATCAGGTGAAACACGGCGACGGCGGTAAACGTGTATTGCTGACGGCAACGCACGACCGATATTGGAGTGGTCAAAATACTGGTTGAACTAGGTCATCCATTCAGTCTTCATTTTTTATGATAAAAGTTCACGCGCGAAGAATGAATAAAAGCACGTGAACTGAAATATGCATTATGCAGTCAGATGTGAAGAAATTTTAACCATATCCGTTACCCCTAAATATTTCACTAAGAATTTGGTATTGAATTGTGCTTTTCACAATGCTGGTCGTGTTGTGCAAGCTATGTAACAGAATTACGACCTATCTGGATGGAATTCGATTGCTCTTTCTAATGAGCGGCTTTCCAAAGCTGTAGGATACACGGTTGCGGAGATACAGTCGATCTTAGTTAGGGGGCTCACTTTTTTGGAACACCCTGTATATCACAACTGTGTGCACTATTTCTATATCTTGCCGTAAAAAGGTGTAGAAAACCGCAGCGCACAGCGACGCGAATCTTGGGGTAGCTTATGATATGGGTGTTTTCACCAAAAATGTGCAATTATTTATCACTCCAAAATTGTACGTTAAATTGATGTGATTGGTTGGGCGTGGCCTGTGTCGGACAGAGCGGTGTGCTGGTGCTACGTCCGTGGCGCGCCGGAGCCGCGGCCGCCTCCCGGCTCGTCTCCCCGGAGCTGCTGGTCTCCGAGGGCGGCGCCATCGAGATCACCTACTGGCTGTGGTATAACGGCGCTCCGAACCAGGTCACCTTTCTACTTTACAGGTCAGATCACGGCACTGGCTGAGCCGTACTTACAGTCGTTTTAGTAAGAATACCCAGAGTAGTGATGTCAGTTTCAGAAATTCTGGAAACCGATACAAAACCGATACCGAACAGAACCACTGAGAGTATACCGAAACCAAATTGATTTGGGAAAATAGGGGAAAATGCCGACTGGAAATCGAAGTAAGTAATTCCTTGAATATCCTCTTAAAAATGTTCCTAACCCGGCGGGCGCGGGGGAGGGGGCTTTACTTTTTGATGATATCGTCGCAACGCGAAGAGATAGAGAAAAATAACTTTGCACACACATTTCTGAAAAGCTTGCCGAGTTTGTGTCCAAACGTTTTCAAAAATTCAGAAATATCATTTTCAGAAATTCTGGAAACCGACACTAAATCGATACCAACCAGCACCACTGAGAGCATACCGAAACGAACCGAATTAGGGAAATAAGGGAAAATACCGACTCGAAACTAAATTAACCCGCGCCCTGCTGGGGGAGGGGGTTGAACACCCCTCTTGTGGTTTTTTTTTCGCGAATATCTGATAAACGGCGTTTTTGGTACACCTTATCATACATCCTTTCTATATGAATTGTGAAAATTTCAGATTCAGGTCACTTAACCCTCGCCCGCACATCGGGGGTGATTGCCCCCCCCCCCCCCAGGTAGTCTTTCTGCTCTCCACTGGCAACATTTTTAGAGCTAGAATCCTGATTTTTCGTATAGCTGCTCCTTTATCCTTTCTTGATGTCCACTGACAATTTCAAGTTTCTGTGGTTTTTGGTTTTGGAGATATGACCTTGTTTTTCAGGTCATGTCATGACCCAAATGACCAATTCTCAACATCTTGCGTTGGCTATGGGCCTTGTGAGCTTTTGACACCCTGATTTCGGCCTTTTTTGCCAGTCTTACCTCCCACCTATCATGGAACATGTTGTTCGACGATGTACAGATGTCAAGGTCCGGGTCAAGGTCAACCTAGGTCATCTAAAATAATTGCGTTTTAGGCAAGCTGAAACTGCTGAATTAACTTTTTGTGAAGTTTTTTGACTGTATTTTTGTAAAAGCTTCTCAGATCATGATTTCATGTAAAACGATCGGTGCACACTGCACACATCAGTATACACACAGCAGACACACACAGACATACAAACACATATCATTGACCTTGACCTAACTTGACCTGAAATGACCTCAGCAGCAAAAACCTGGACGGGTAGTGTGACAAAGAGGTTCTAGCTGGCTTGGCACCAGAAAACGGCATCGTCATCGGTATATGATAAGCAGCGCACTTGATATCAAACGGTGACCCAAAACAGCAACATTTTTTAGTTTGGCCTGACCTGGAAGGTTAATGACTGAACTGAGAAGGTAAAACTGGGTATCACTGGATTCGTCTTTTCCCAAAGAATCTTTTTGGTCTTTACTGCGAAGCTCTATCTCCAACAGGAACGAAATGGCGCGGGGTGGCACCCCCCCCCCCATGTGCGCTCTAGGATGGGAAAATGACATGTGCAGGCGAAACAAGTTTAAGCCTAAAATCAGTTTGCAATCATGTCCAGCCTGCAGTGTTTGTCAGAAAGGTTTTAAACTTGGTGGATTGCATGATGTTATGGGCGCCTATAATTTGTTTATCTCGAATTTTTTATATCCGTGACCTAAGGTCAGGCCAGTGGCGTGACCTTACCATTATAAGTCAATGGAGAAAAATAAAAATGCCTCTAGATCCGTGTGTACGCGTAAGAACAGTCCAAATATTTCAGAATCACAATGATTTGGACCACATGTGACGACCGAGGCGTCTTTTTTTTGCTGATAGCCTCTAGAAGGGTCATCCGAGGTCATCTGAGGCTACAAAAGGTCTTTAGTTGAGTGATAGGTACTGACCTAGACGTGAATATGACTAGGACTCAAGTACTGCAGGCCAGGGTTGCTGAGCTGGAACAGCTTTTGTCAAAGTGTCTTGTAGAGGGGAAAGGGTAGATGGAGTTGAAATAGGAACTTGTGGGGATGCTAGTTATAGTGGCTCGTGACCAGGAAGTGGTCCTGAGAAAGTGAGCAAAGGGGAGAGCAATGTCATGAGCAGCAGCAGTGGGGAAGTTCAGGTAGTTAGTAAGATGCATGAGAAAAAAGGAGCGATCTTGTAGCTGTGAAAACTTCAAAAGTACAGGTAGCTCTGGAAGGGGTGACTGGAAACACATAGGAGGGTGTCTGTTTTGGCAACTCAACACCACTGCACTGTCTCGGTAAATACAGAGGAAAGGGATGATGGATTTTGGGTGTTGGTAGGTACAGTCGTGTACAGGCTGATGGTCCCCTTACCCCTACTCGTTATCCACCGGGTTCCTATGGCTCAGCATTGGCAGCAGCCGCCTTGTGCCGGTAGGCTGTGCCGCATGACCCGAGAGTGAAGCGGCACAGTCTACTAGAGCACTTCATGGGCCAGATAAATCCGTTATCCACGGATAAATCCGCGGACCGGATAGGATTGGATTCTAAATTTGTTAAAAAAGAACGGATATGGGCGGACCAGATTTGGGTATTGAAGGTTGAACCCGGATCAAAACGGATCAAAATTTTAACATTCAACATTGAAGTTAAAACATTCTTAGATGAAAAAAACCACGCATATTGGGGGACTGTCAGCTCCGAATGGAATAAGAATTATTATGAAACAAGTCACTAAAGTTTCTGGAGTCACTGAAGTTTGCACTTTGCGTGTGGGTGAGTAAAGACTGGGATGTGGATAGTGGGCATGGGGCGGTATTACAATTGTAATATCTGTTGGGCACTTGTAACTCACTAACTACCACCATACATGCATTTGATGACCTGAACTTCCCTATCTTCTTACTTCTTAGAGAAATTGTGTATTACTATTGAAGGATGATACCTAGTTTACCAATGTGGTGATTTTCATGTGGTTTTAGGTTTATAAGCATGGTTTTTGGAACCATGATGGTCTGTGAGATGTATGGCTGTCTGGTCCCTTAGATTGAATTTGTTAGTCCAGTTTTGGGTGAAACCAGTTATTGGTGAAACGGATTATTACGGATATTTTTTGGAAGTTTGGCTGCAATACGGGCCATGGGTGGGCCGGATTCTGATATTCAAAGAAAGGCGGATAATGGGCGGATCTGGATATGACTTGCCGGATATGGGCCGGGCCGGATCCTAAAAAGCCTATCCGTGAAGTGCTCGCCCTAGTGAAAAAATCCTTAAGGACAGTCCTATGTATTTCTTAAGGACGATCCTTAACAAAATCCTTGTACGAAATTGATACACAATCCTTAAGGATTTTGTTAGAAATTCCTTAAGGATTCTGCGGAAAATCCGTAAGGATTTTTAGCTAAATCCTTAAGGATCTCTAGCAATGTCTTTAAGGACATTGGTAATAATCTTTAAGGACTTTGTGACTTTTCCTTAAAGATTTGTAGCAAAATCTTTAACCCGCGCACCGACGGGGGTCTGCGCCACCTTCGCACCGACGGGGGGGGGGGCGGATGACCGCCCCCCCCCTGAGATCTCGAGAACGAAGCAAGATAGCGACAAGCGGTAAACGGCATCGGATACGCACGGTCAAGATCTACAATTTTTACTAAGGTCATTTTCAGGTCAGGTCAAAGATGACGTCACAGGGGTCGAAAAAGTCAAAATGGCGGCGCTAGATATGGAGAGAGTTTTTCTCGAATAACTCTCGAATTAGTCAAGATAGAAACAAACTAAGGGCATCATCGTGATCCTCTCGTCAATCCGCATCGAATGATATATATGTTGACCTCGAAAGGTCAAGGTCAAAGGTTGACCTCAGGTCACGTGACCTCGAGGTCATCATGTATATCATTCGATGCGTCTTGACGAGCTGAACACAATGAGACCATCCACGCGTCTGTATCTTGTTCCTGTACGGAGTTATTGGCCAAAAACCTTTGGTGACCTTTGATGACGTCACATGACCTCACAGCTGCCCAACAGCAAAACAGACCTCAAGGTAGTGAAGGTTGATCGTATATGAAGTCATGTATGGTATATGGGGCCATTCCGACCCGTTTTAGTGGTAAAAACAGGGAGTTGATTTTTCCCCCATTGACTTATAATGGGGAGGTCGCGAAATTGACCTGACCTTAGGTCACCGATATCAAAATTCCGAGATATACAAATTGTAGCTACTAATGACCTAATAATATCCTGCGACTTTCAAAGACCTCCGACATCTACTGTAGCTCTGGCACGGTGACAAAGTTGCAAAAAAGTGACTTGAGGTTGGGTCATTCAAAGTGACCTGGTGACCTGACCTTGAAAGGTAGGAGGCTCAAACTTGCACACCATGTGTAAAATTGATGAGGTTATAGTCATACCAAATTTCGCGGCGCTACGCGCCGCGGTTTTCCCGCTATTCGCGAAAAACCTCAGGGGGGGGGGGCGGATATCCGCCCCCCCCCGTCGGTGCGCGGGTTAAGGATCTTGGCGACAATCCTCAAGGATTTTGAGGCTCTTCCTTAATGAACGATATATAAATCCGTAAGGATCAAACCCTAGCAAACACATTTGTACGGTCTCTGGTGCTATATTTTTTACTTAACCCGCGACCGCCTGGGGGGGGGTCGGATCCGACCCCCCCCCTCCGTTTTTCTTGAATAACTCATGAACCGCTTGCGCTATCAACTTGAAACTTCGCATACCTTCTCCCCCATCAATTTGACGTCTTCTGTGCAATTTTTAAGAAAAAAATTTCAACAAATTTTGAGATATATCGATTTTAGTGATGTAACTACATGGCGTTTTCAGTCAAAAAATGGTAAATGTTTAAAAAATCGCCAAAAATCGAGGTTTTAAGCAAATTGCAAATTAAGGACATGAAAGGACGCAGCTCAACGAGTTCTTTAAAATGGCTATCTCGGATTTTCCATAAAATGCGTTTTTCACCCCTAAAAATTAAAAAACTATATTTTTTGGAAAACAGCTAATAAAATCCAAAATTTTGAGAATTTCCAAAAAACCGGAATATATGTTATAGAGCTCTATTAGAAAATTA